TATACACATTATATAATTCGGCATGCAACAACAACTTGTATCCAACTTCAACCTTCGATTTATGTTCAAGACCAAGACCTAAATACTCGTTCAAGACTTCTTACGTAAGTTCCCGGACATTGGCGAATATTTATTTTCGATATCAGTAAAGCCAATTTTCTTCTCAATACCAAGCTCTCGTACTCGTCGCCATAGAGTCCAACGTGACACGAGTAAGAGTCGAGCTATATCTTTCCAAGTGAAGCCTAGCTTTCTGAACTGCAGTAGGGTGTCTTCTTCGATTTTGAAGTTAGGTCTCCCTGGTCCAGTATTTTCACATCTCTCGGGTGGCTTAACTGAGTAGACAGCTAAATGTGTACAGTTCGGGGTGCTTCTTAGCTCGAGTTCTTGCAATTTACGACACCATCTGTGAAACAAAATCTTAAGATTCCTAGCAACTTCGCTCATCTCTTCTTTGCGTTCATGTCCGGGAACTTACGTAAGAAGTCTTGAACGAGTATTTAGGTCTTGGTCTTGAACATAAATCGAAGGTTGAAGTTGGATACAAGTTGTTGTTGCATGCCGAATTATATAATGTGTATATATAAACGAAGGCAGCCTTGAATAGAAATATGTATCATTGAAGTTGAATAGATATGATGTGCTGAACATAAATAACGAAGGTAGAATTTGAACACAATTTTGTAGTTGAATGCAAATATAAGTGTTGAATATGAATAACGAAGGTTGAATTTGAACACAATTTTATTGTTGAATGTAATTATATTTTGTTGAATATAAATATACATGCTGTTGAATTTTGCAACATTTGGCCAACCATATTCTGCAATCAAGTATTTAACTTGTGTTTATACACACGTACTGACATAGAAAGATATATTCCTACGTTGTACTGTTATCGCAATAACAGAAAATCGCCTGAAGGCAGAAAAGTAATCTATTCATCCTACGACTTTTGTACATGTCATTAATTTATACTTCAGTTTTAAACAGGTAAGTGGGGGTGGTGGGGTGGGGGGATTAGGGGAAAACCTAGGGGGAGGGGGGAAGCACTACAGTCAATCTAAATACAGAATAAGAGGTTAGAAGTTACAGTCAAACCACCTCAAGCGTGAGCAAGTAGAGGTCATTAATGACTTTATTTTTGGATTCTTGATTTCATTGAAAACCAATCTTCAATATTTAAAAAATTATAATAGTTTGAAAATTAGACTAACTTGGCTTGTAGACTCTTGTTTATAGCGGATTACTTGCATATTACTTGCACAAAATGTTGCTCTTGCATCTCAGCTGTATGCATATATGCTAGACTTTGGTATATGCAAGGCTTGAAAGATTCGTTTTCAATGATGAATGTTTGAATCGAATAATGAAATCAAGAATCCAAAAATAAAGTCGTTGTTTTTAAGGAAATATAAAATAGCATAAAACATATTWAAAAAAAAGAAAGAAGTAACAATATAACATCATATATTCAACATTTATCACAAAACGGAATTTGTCCGGGCTCGTTATTTCAAACAATAAACTTTATTTGAAATATTTTCTAAGATATATTTTTGATTATTTTTACATATTTATTATCGCATCGAAATTCAGAATATTTTTGACTTTTTTATTTTTGTTTCGTTGTTGTGAACCGTTTTTGTGTTAAACCTCTACTTATTGACAATCTAAGCCCCAATGATTTACAACTTTTTTTTACAATGCTTCATTCTTGTTTAGCTTGTTCTGTACCAGCCTTTACTGGTTCAGCAGTCTTACTCCCCTGCGCATGCTCCTCTTTCTGGCCTTCCTCTGCATTAGAGCAGCATTTGACCACCACAGCCTTGCACGTACTGTAGATATCTTTAAGTGTATCCTGATATTCCGAATGTTTGAAAGTAAATATAAATGGATTACAAGCGCTATGCAGGTATATAGCCCAAAATGATAACTGACTTAGGAAATCGACTGGCAAACTAGGCTCTGCGACGACAAAAACTAAATATACAAAAAATGGCGTCCTGCAAACGATGAAGGTCAAAAATATCAACAAAACTGTTATACGTATTTTAGTTCCTGCCGAAACAACAGCCCCTTCTGCAGGTACCGAAGATATAGATGTTGTCCTCGTCATCCTGGAGTTATGCTTTCGCAACGCGATAAAAATATTCGCGTAAGAAAAAATCATAATTGCCAAAGGAAAGGCGAATCCTACAAACATTAATGCAATGGCATATGACATCTCGGACTTCTGGTTGGAGTGGTAATAATCACAGTTGAATATATTAGAGGTGAACTCATAACGGCCCCAGTACGCAATGGGTCCAGTAGCTAGAAATCCAGAAAGAATCCACACTCCTATCAACATCAGAAGACACCGGAAGTTAGTGATCATCCTTTCCAGCGGCATTACTATGGAAACGTATTGGAAGATGCAAATTGTGGTTATTGTTAAAACGCTGGCCAAGGAAAAGAAGGTGTTGATGAAGCCGTTGAAGTAGCAAAACAACTCCCCGATTTGCTGAAAACATTGAAAGAAAAAACATGTTGGACGTCATATGTAATAGTTTACATTATCATTTTTAACTTTTTTCAGTTTTTCTGCCTTTTTCCCAGTCCTTTTAAACTTTTGTTTTTATGTGACGATCCATTTGTCTCTTTAGTGTTATTTACATTAAAACATATTGTTCCTAATTTAGATGAAGTTGTAACCAATCTTAAAAGGACTGATTGTATTATTTCTTTAATATAAAGCTGATACATACGCTATTTAAAGCCTTTCTCAAGCCTATATTTGTTACCAAGCTACGGTTAAAGGGTCGGCTATAATAACACCTTAGAATTATATTATGACTAGCGCCGCTTTAAACATCGCTCCCAAAGGAAGTGGAGATCAAATTTGGAGAGAAGACACACATTTGGCTACTCACCTGTTTATGGAAGAGTACTGTAGCAACGGCAAAAGGCATACAAGAAGCTGACATACCAATATCAGAAATAGCCAAGTTAACCAAAAACAAGCTAAGCTGAGTTCTTAGAGATTTATTCCAGGACACAGCAAGACACACCGCAAAGTTGCCAAAAATCCCGATAAGCGTGGTTATCCCCAGAAGCAATCCAATCACTAGAATGACGATAGAAAATGGCATGGATTTTCTTTCGTTTACACTTAAAACCCTCTGCTTTAAAATCGTCTCCTTCGTATCATCTGTCAACTCCACTGCCTCAAGATTAAGTACTTCAACGATGGATTGAGACAACCATCTTAATATCTAGTTGGAAAATTGTTGTGATGACAGCTGTTAGACTTGATATCTGTTTTTTTCTTATCCGATGTGTCTTGATCCTGCAACTTTTATCTTCCAAAAAATCAAGGCAGACTTTATCAAAAATTGTCTTCGTGGTAAAGAATCAGATATATTGTTTGAAAGCTGTTGTCAAGATTCCCTGTGATACGCTAACTGGTTGGTTGTGTCAGATATTTGACGAATCGCCTTTCRAAAATCTCACGACACAGGAAGAAATATCATGCAAGGTCCAGTTATTTGTGAATTCTTATCTTGAAGGTTACTAAGACCAAGGATAACGACTAGTCCTGGCTGGTGTTACACCGTGCTGTTCACAATGAAACCTGTTAATGTCCATTCAAGCACACAATAGATGCAACGACTACCATCAGATGACAATAAGCTACCAGTATTTAGAAGATTTGTTGATGCCTTTACTGGAATCGCTAGCGCTCGACAACAGAAATTACCAAATCATAATAACTTAACAACTAATATACTCATTTTGTTTGGCTTCGGTTCTATCGTGTTTTTTGTTTTTGTTCTTTTCTGTAAAAAATATTGAGTAAATGTATTTTGTGCTCTTTTTTATGGTTTGTTGATGACGCGTTCTTCACCACAGCAAGGGTGGCAAACGTACCATCGTTTTTTGCCTTTGGTTTCAGCCGTAGTTGATCGATCTCAAAATCCCTCACCTTACTCGCTACGTTCCCGTAAATCAACGCGTAATTGTGGTTTATAGTCCAGTGGGATGATCCTTGTAAACCAAAAAGTACGTATACATTCAAGTCTTAGTAATTTTTCTTCGTCTTCTTTTCTTTGAATTCTCGCTTTTTCCTCGTCATCAGGGATGTCGACACACCATTCGTGTGATGTAAATCAAAACACACATGTACTATAACAACTGTACAGTTGTTTATATTCTCAGTTCTCAGACAGGAATCATAGATCATCTACTACTTATTTAGTTTTTAGTAGCATAGTTTTTCAATGAGATGGTTTTTCTACCAGTTAGCCACCTGCCGGAGTCAATCACAAGAGTACTAAAAAAATACGACGGCTTGAATGACGTTGACAACACATTAAGTTTCAGTCATTAATCACGAGATGGACTGCGGATATTCTGCGAAACGGCCCTCCGGAGTGGGGGGAGTGGCGGTTGGGGACAGGGGGCGGAGGAATCTCTTGATTTGGGGACGTTTAGAAATCAGTYAATCAAAAGCAGCTGGTCAATGTACATCTAGTAGCGTATCAAAGTGAATTTGAATGGTAATAGTATAATAGCCATTCATTTGACAAAACCTTGGCGTGTTACTGGAGGATTAGAAGCTCAGTAAGGGACCCTGAATATCTATTGATACAGCTGAGCCCACAGCCCGCAATTTTTTTTTTGTTTCCGTGTAAATGAGCGGGCTAATTATAATGGTAGGTTTGTTTTTTTATTTTTTTTATTTTTTTGCCGCAATTCTCTACTTTACATCCCCATAATACTTTGCGTCTTTGGGGGGTAACCAGAGGGTAAAAACCCACTTATTTTGCTGAAGGTTGATCAGACAATGTTGACAATACCTTGTTTGGTATCCAAAAATAAAATGAAGAAGTAAAAAACAGAAAAAGATAGAAGCTTGAAGACGTTTAAGGTAAATTTTAAACATTTTTTCGTAAGTCAATCCATTTTCTGTAAAACCAAAACTCTTGAGTATTGTACAGATAAAAGCAGGTATAGTATAAATTCAATTAAGAAACCTTTCAATTTGGGACAGTTTTTTGATTGGTTATCCCCCAAAGACGCAAGGAATTATTGGGATGTGAAAGTAGAGAATGGCAGGGATAGTCACAGAGTTAAGCTCCAATCGCATGTCAATATCCCCTAAAAATGGAGAAACAAAATAAATTATTATAAATTACAAAGGTTGCGTTCTAGAAAAATATGAAAAGGAAAAATACACACAAGAGAAAAACGATAAAAAAGACACACGAAACTCAAGTAGACTATGGTGGCTTGTACTTTAGCAATATATCMTAGTACATCTTATATAAAATGTCTTTGAACTGTTTTAAGACGTTCATGATAAGTATAATAGATCGATTCAATGCTTTTAAACCCAAACCATGCGCTGCCACCATCATTAAATCCCAGCGGTGTAGCAAGGACCCTATAGAAATAGAGTGGGGAGGGGGCTTAGATTTGGAGTGAAATATATATATATATAGTAAACTAGTGTGAATAAACAAGAAAAAAATTACATTACCAATTAATAATCGTATATCTGTGGGCCGGGGCTATATCCCTCGTCCTCTTCGAGGTCCCTGTTGGGTTCGTAAAAGCAAGTGTAGTGCCATGGTTCGAAGTTAAAGCAGAGATTTCAGGACACAGACGCAATCAAACAATGAAGAAAGGTGAACTGTAAACGTTCATTTAAAAAAAGCTACAGTGGAACCTCATTAATTAATACGGCCAATGAAGGGCCAGAAACTGAAAAGTGTCTGTCATATAGGTGTCCTTAATGAAGGGGTCTAACATAAAAATGATGATGACTTTCAATTTCCGGGATCTAAGTATTTTCCCGTAATATAGAGGCGTTCTTAGTAAGTGTTTGTAATGTTTCACTTCATAACCATTACTGTACTACGCCAAGACAAGAATTGTCTTCAAGAGGAATGATTACTAGCTCTTGACGACTACTAGTCGAGTGTTTATATCGATCGTATGGTCTCCTAGCAACCGCAATTTTCATGACCACCATAAGTCGTTGCATTAATTTGACTACCAGTCAAAAAAATGCTTCACTAATTTTACTCTTGAGATGAAATTAATTGGTTTCGAATGATAACGCTCGATCGGCGTTTTTTTTTTTTTTTTTTGGCAACGCTAAACAAATATTGTGTTTTTACAGGCAGGTTGCATCAACAGACTTTTTTAAATAGAAATATTGCAACCAATGGCAACAAATAGAACATGGACATTGTCATTTTCATATCTGTATATTCTCATGAAAATAGTAAGACAATTGGTATTAATTAACTGAACTGTTTGGACGAAAGAAAGCTTTATAATGGACGGTTTCTACGAATATTCTTTATTCCCTCAATTACAAAAAAGATATACTTCGGTAAAAATGAGGGACAAGTGCATGGAATGACGTCATTAGCGTACAGTGTACGCACACAAAACTAATCGAAAATCGATACGAAGAAATTGCGAGGGCATCTAGCGTATATGTCGTTAAATATGCACTATTGAAAAATGATATTTTAGGCGAGGTTTGTAGACCTTGTAGACTTTTGTTCATTTTTCATGTACGTCCGTTACGCATTGATAATACGTACCCTGCCCTTACGTAAACAGGAAGCCCGTCTGTGTTAACGATGACGATGGTAGCCAAGAAATGTGTTTTCTTATCGCCACGATAATAGGTCGCTTGCCTCACAGATGGTCTCCATATTCGATGTATGGTACAGTCTATAGCACCCACTGCATTAGGAAAAGTATCCCAGCTATTCCTAAATGTTGCCCACTCGGCAGCATTTGGCCATCGAATTTGATCTCTTAAGATGTACCATACTATGGGAATGATGTGATGAACTTCGTCACTAACTGTTGCTACGCTTATCTGAAATAGTGCACAAACCAGCTCTTCTCTAAAATACTGTCTAAACCATATTAATGCAGCCAAAAGACGATTTCTTGGATTAAGCAAGGTTGGTCGAATACGCCTTGGTAKACCTACATGCTGCAACCTGGGGTCTCTTGGTTGGATAATCCAAGGATATGCTGTCTGATATRGTCCTTCAAACGTCTCTGGCGTCTCACCAGTCAGATGCCAAAATAAAGGTGGTATATTGAGTAGCTCGGACCATACGTCATTTCCTCTTCGCCTGTGCGGCTCTGAAATCTGGAAATAGTCTTTCTAAAACGTCTAGCTCCTCTCCAACATCTCCACAAACAAGAAGCATCATGGATAATAAACGGAAGTCCAATATTTCTTCTGCTCGTACACGGCAAGACCTCAAAGGCATAGGCATGAAGCATATTTTGTTCTTCACAATATTGATGGTCGGCAGTGCCGAACAGCATCAATATTTTCAAAAATGACAATATAAACCAATAAAATGCGTATTTGCGTAACATATTGCACTCAAAAAAAACCAGTACGCACCCTATAGTACGAAGTGCTATATTTTAACAAAGAAAACCACATTCCACGGGCAAATAATTATCACCCTTTGTTCTAGGGTGCACGGATTTTGAAAATACCGATAAAGCAAAAAGGTCTAATGCAAATGGCGGTAAAACAAAACACACTAAACTTGTAAGGTCATGGAAGACTATTCCTTATACCTCGTTGCATTCTTTGGCTTGGGATATTGCTTTCCCATTTCAGACCTTCCAAACAAAGAATCAGATTMCTAAGAGAATGACACGTGGTCTGAAATGGAAAAACATTACGCCCAAGATAAAAAATCTAATAATTTTATTAATGTTTTAAAAGCTCAGACAAAGTAATATCACTTGAGATTGAAAAAGTATGCAGTTAGCATCATTTTTGTCCATTTATTCATCTCTTCGAGATGGAATAATCTCCCTAAGATAAGCAATCTATTCTAAGAACATTAGCAACTTTAGTTACGTCATTTGTCTGTACATTATTTTCAAAACATCTTACAAATCTTTATATTCAAGAAATATTAGCATTTTTGACCTACCAAAAAGGAACAACGAAACATAATATAGACCCCTTGCACTGATTTCCTAGAGGAATTGTTCTTGGGGACCAAAAAATAGAATGTGTTTTTTTCGCATAAGTAAGAAAAGATGGCCTATTGCTAATTTGTCCCCCAGAACAATAGACCAGTTTCGAATTGCAAATTACCGCTGTGTTCCTTGATTACAGACTCATTTGCACAGGGTTAGCCTCGTATCAGTGTTTAAATATTCACAAATACCAACGGTAAAGTAAAGAATGCACAACTTCAACAATACAAACACTTTGAAACTCGACAGGCCTTGACTGGAACACGTGAATATTCTGCACAAACTCGAGGCTAACCCTGTGCAAATGAGTCTGTAATCAAGAAACACAGCGGTGATTTGGAATTCGAAACGGGTCTATTCCTCTAGGAAATCAATGCGAGGGGTCTATAAATTCTATTTCAAATCAAACAAATATTTCCTTCAACATGTATGGTCTTTCCCCTCTCAGGGTAAGGACCACACGCCACTACTATTTACATAGGTGGATCGCTAAGCATTAGTTGAGCTTCCTAGCGTCATTGGTAACATCTCTTTCTATCAATTGAATTATGGTTCAGCTATGTTGTTCCATTCTAGGCCGCTCCAGAACCATCACAATATGGGCTGATAATTATTGTCCCCATTACTTGTAACAAGTATCTTCAAGCAAAGCAGAAACATACCGATTCAAGGGCGGATCTAGGGGGGGGGGCAAAGGGGTGCTGAAGCCCCCCCTTCAGCAGAAAAACACCATGCTTTTTTATATTGTTTTCCGTTGTGTTGACGGAAAAACTCAATTAGCCCCCCCCCCCCCAAAATTTTGGCTGGATCCTCCCTTGCGATTTCTAAACTACAAAAATAAGACTTCTCTCTTTGACTTCTAGTATCATCAGCATAGCAGATGTACCGTAAATTATCCAATTTAAGACAGCTTCACGTATCTTTGCCATGCCAAAAACACCCTCATTTCTCCACTACAAAAACGAGACTTGATTCTCCATTCTAAGACTTCAAATATCTTTGCCATTTTTGCCCTTATTTCATATAACTATTTCCAGTTTTCTCTTCTAACGAGTATTGGGCTTCAAAGGAATGGATGTACTGAACAATATATTTTATCGCTGCATACACATATAGGTACGATGTGCTGAAAGAGAAGAAATATAATAAGCGATTTTTTTAAAACTACACGGATTTAGGCACAGTGATTTGCAATTTGCAAAAATGTCACGTGACCTACTCTTAAAATGAGCAGCTGTGTCAAAATGAACGCCAGAAATGAAAAGAGCAACTCGATTATTATGGAATGAGTACCACAGGTTCGTGAACCCCTGAATATTACTGTGGTTCTCAATATTCTGCAAAATCGGTAGTGGCGAGAAGGACCTGTGTCTGCGAAGACGCATACAGCTCCTTCTGAAAAACAATACCTCGCACGCAAGCTACAGCCGATTGCAGTCGAGTGTATAACGGAAATATCTTGCACGTTTGTTTTAACTGTTGAGCGTATCGTTGTTAGGTTGAATGTCAACTGGTGCTAGGTGGCGGTGACAATGTTTTGCCTCTAATTACACGCGTTCTCGCTGGAAATTCAGTTCCATTAAACACTCAACCGCAATCCACTGTAATCAAACGTGTGATGTTTAAGTGATAACAACTACCTACTTGAGAATCTCCTTCTTCAAAAACCTTTGCCAATGGGTTGGATAAGTCTCGTGTGCACTTTTTCTTGATTCTCACACCTAATGTAGTATACAAAGCCACCTCTGTATCCAGTAACGCTTCTTGCGCCAGGGTGTTGCGCGTCTCGATTGATCTTGGTAAGCGCACATCTACACTTTTGTTCTGGTATGAAGTGGAGTTTTCTTTAGGTAAGGCTTCCTCTCCTGTTCTGGGCAATGTAGAAGTTACTTCAGGTAGAATCATGACTGGTTCTCTTCTATGGAAGCCAGAAGGTCCGACAGCAGAGCGAAGGGACAAACTGTCGTTAATATTAGGATAGATACGGGATGTATTGAATATGTTAGCAGTGTTTAATATTTCAGGCTTTGTACTAAAACTTGTATCCGAGTGAAGCGGTGGTTGTTGGCGCATAAATCCTGGACTATGTATGGATACCACTGTTCCTTTGCCCATGGTTAAACAGCTAGTGTAAGTAGAGTTACTTCCAGTGTGACCATTGCTTTGTACATGGTTAGTTGTAGCAACAGGCGCAGAAGCAAATGCCTTCTGGGTGTGGCCACCACCCCATGATGGACCACTGACTCCATTACTATGTACTTTATCATTTCCGGATACTCCTAGATGCAACCTATTCGAACTATTACCACCATATAAAGATCTTTCATTGAGACTCACCAGAGGTTTCTCTGCAGGCATGTAGGAATTGTTGCCATAGTGACTGGCGAAAGGTTTTTCTGCGGGCTTGGAATAATTGTTTCCATGGAGACTGGTCAAATCGTTTCCTCTAGTTTTCTGAAAAGCGTTGCCATGGAAATGGGCGAAAGATCGTTCTGTAGGTTGGTAGTTATTGCTGATCAAAGGTTTTTCTGCGGGCTTGGAATAATTGTTTCCATGGAGACTGGTCAAATCGTTTCCTGCAGGCTTCTGAAAAGCGTTGCCATGGTGATGGTTGAAAGATCGTTCTGCTGGCTGGTAAAAGTTGCTGGTCAAAGGTTTTTCTTCAGGCTCATTAAAATCGTTGCCATAGTTGGTGCTCGAAGGTAACTCACTAGGATTATAAAAACGTTTGTCACGGACAATGGTCGGATTACTTGCAGTAAGTATATTGAGAGGTTGGTAAACATTGGTTAGCAAGCCATCCTTGTGTACGCTACGGTAATTAGGATACTTATTTGAGGTGGTCGACTGTTCCTGAAATGAAGAGGTTACCACCTCGATGCCAGGAGTAGAGCTGTAGAAAGTATCACTCCAGGATAAGGACTTGGGGAATGATGGATTCGAGGCCACGGATGAGAAATGGGGTCTTTTGTTTCCTATTTTAGAGGCGCTTTTCTTGATAGAACTCAGTAAACCAAAGGGTTGTCCATTGTCTAGTGGACCATTCATCACAGGCGTTTGAACTACTTGTTGTGTAGGAGTAAAGGGCGCTGTTCTGTCCACTGGAAGGGCCCCAGTTTGACTCACAAAATGAGTAGGTTTTGGTGCTGTGTAACCTGCAGGAACTTGAATACCACTCTCCATTGGACGTGTCACACCAATCAGACTTTGACTAGCTTGGTTCACAAAAGAAGTAGCTTTTGGTGCTTTGTGAACAGTAGGGTCTTCAAAACCACTAGCTTGGTTAACTAATGGACGAGGATTAGCTATTGCACGATATCTAGGGTCTAGTACCCTATGTGTCCCCAAATGTGTAACCAACGGACTTGCAATTGGTGTCTTATTGCGTATGGTTACGCGCATGTGGTTTTGGGGTGTAGCCCTTAGCCATTGGTCTGTTAAATCCTTTGTTTTCAAATTCCTCGGTGTATCAGAAATCTGTAATGGACTTGTAAGCGGCTCACATCCGCTGATATCGCTCGATAGCCTTGCCTGGATGTTATTATTAAAGCCTTTGTATGCTTCGTTTGAGGTCCGCGTCTTCTCTACTTCAAGGAGCTGTAACTCCTCAATAGCCTGCCTTTCGAGCTCTTCTAATTCAAGCTTAAAATAAGAAAAAAGTTATAAGATTTCAAAATTATGGGTTTAGGAGGAGGGTACCGCAATCTGACAGAATGCTTACAAATCACATGCCTTGCGCGAAATCGTGCAATTTGT